GACTAAATGATACACTCAAGCAACAATCTTGAAATGTGGCGATATTGTTCAGCTTCGCTGTGACCTAGGGTCCCCCACTTTTGGAGCCGAGATAAGAAAGCAACTATTTCATATCGAATAGCGAAGGTTTCATGGCGATCGAAGCTAAATAAAAGGTGTCCTAAATACTGCATTCCAGCAGCTGAAATCGTTACGGACTCCCGTGCCGCACGTTTACTGCTCAATTTGTGCACAAACAAACGGTGTTATCTTGTAGGCTCAACCGCAGTCCCCAATGTCACTCAAAATGCTCCCGGTCGTTATTGATATGATATAATGCTCTCGATACGACAATGTTCTCGACAGTGAAGCTGCCGAGAGTATTGTCTAATTTTCTGCACTTCGATGGTATATCAGAATTTAAATCTACTTGCCTTGGTATTTATAGCACCCCCAGCGAGCACCTTCCTCTCATCCTGCAACTTTTGCGACTTTTTTTGCTGCATCATACAAACTGAAGGATAAGACGCTTGCCTCCTAAGGATATGCCAAGAGCTCGTGGTCCAAATCATCTCAGTACAAGCACCTAGGGCAAATACAATATATAGTGTAATTGGCGCCACAAAAAATCACGAACGAAATCCTTAACTACCAGTACATTCCTCAGGAAATCGCAAAGTGACACGCTCCTGGTTCACAGACGGAGCCACAAAATCAGGGGGCAAATTCGCTCGACTCTTCGGGCAACTCACAATAGTTTTGTGTCGAAAAAAACACGTGGAACTGACGCACCTCGCGCAAGGTCAGCTACCGGCTGAGGTCGCGGCAGGACGTGATCCGTATGTGTTTCAGTTCGCAGTACAAAATGTCATTACTCTGGACAAGTAATTTTCTAACTACAATTTCAAATTGCAAATTTAAAGTTCAAACTAAAGATTTTCAGAGAAATATGTTTTATGGACGTTAAAACTTTTAATGGACAGTTTCGGACTCCCAATTTTGGACCATTTTGGTCAAATCGGCTTGGCATTCAACAAAATACTAAATTTCCATTGATTTCAGTCTATGTCGGGATTTCGGCTGATACGTTTCGGTCTACACGACACAGTTTGCTGAGATGATTCTGAGTCTATTCCAGGGTGGTATATGATATGTTAGCACTTACCTGATTGCCAATTGATGACATTTGGAAGCATCCAAGGTCACTGTTCCTGAAAAAAACAACAGTTGAAATGACCATTGCATCAGAGAGTTGTGCACAGCACATATTCATGGGACACTACTTGCATGGTTGATTCCCCAACATGGGTATTTAACAATATGAAAAGCATGGCCATCAGCTTGGTGTGAACACTGGACACTGAGCACAGCTATCTCAGTTGTTGATTGCAACACAAGGAATATCAAGCATTTGCAGAAATAAATCAAGCCCGTGACGGTTAACTGCGTATGACACTAAAGAATGAATGGATACTACATTTTTCCTTCAGCTGTAACAAGCCATAATTTTTGAGAGGGTACTGGACATATTTTCTGATCTTTCTTCCATTGATTTTGCTGAGGTGTAATCATGCAAGGCCTACTGTCAGGTGCCATTTTGGACAGAATCCTACCTTGGAATAAAAATAGACTTGGTGTCTGAGACTGGAATGCTACCAATCACAGTATGGGCCTGAATTCAACTGAACTTGTGTATTGTGTGTGCACAAAAAAATGGTGTTGAGCACTAGATTAAATTCCCCAGCAAAAAAAGCTTAATCTTCCTAAGCTGTGTTTAATATAAATGATGAATCTGGTCTTCTTGTTGGGCCACTACATCACTGCTTGATGTTATAATCCTTTAATTATGTGAAATGCATGGCGTCCACAGCTACTGTTGTCATGCCCCTATCCAGAAACATTTCCCACTTCAAAGGCATGGTGCAAAGCATGGGAACTGGTCTGAAAGGGTTTGACCAACTAAAACAAGTGCAAAATATGATGTAATGAGACAATGTAGCATAGCTCTGGCATGCATAAAGGTTTCAACCTCACAACACAAACCTTTCCATTGCCCAGCATCTCCACATTGCTGATAATACATTCTCAAGATTTAATCCAAATATTTTCCATGGATGGATTTATGGGATCAGAGCTCATGCTAAGCAGTGCGTGTTGTGTGAGCCCTGCCTCCTACCATCTGATCATCAATTTAGACTACCATCAGATCATGCAGGTCAACATCAGAATTTGGTGGAGAAAGCTCAATGCACTGCAGTGTTTGGCATGGCCGGCCCTGCCTTCCAACGTCATCTGAGTCATCTGACATTTATCGTGGTTGCTGCCCCCAGCTGCATGCTGTATCTGTCAAGGGCAAAAAGAGAATGCCTTAAGAGACTCAAACCCACCCCACCACAGTTGGGTGAATCTGGAGGAAGGCACTCTAACCAGCTGAGCCATCAGGATGGACATATAATACTATACATACATGCATTTTATGTCAGCACCTTGGAAAATGCCATTAACTACAATTTCAGCTCCCATTGGCCACTGTCACTCTTAGCCTGGACCCTGAGGTTAAAGGTTCCCTTTTAAGTTGCTGTACAAAATTAGCAGACAACTGTGGGATTCAGATTAGATTGCTCACCTGAGTGCAAAACTTGGATGCAATGATGGAAATTCAGGGAAGGGGGCATAGAGCACTTCTTGGTGTGCAGCAAACCTAACTGCATTCCATGTGTGATTGTTCACACTTCTCACACATTAGAGCTGAAATAATTCCTGCATTTCTGATCATTACATGCTAAACTAGAGGAATAAGAAATTTGCAACAACTGGTTTCAACCAACTGAAATACCATGACTCAGAACTAGCTAGGAAAATCAAAATTTTGGCTGTTGATTGGTTAACAACTTGTGTGGCCAACCTGTGTGATTAAAACAAAAGGTTGTGAATTTACTCTTGGTATGCTAGGCACTGTTATCTCTTTGTGGTTAAGATTCTGAAATTATGATGGAAAATCATTTTCATAACAAACTGCATAAGTTGTTTTGTGCATAAGCAAAGAACATTGTTCACATAGATAAAACAGCAACATTAGCCTTATTCCCAAGACCAAAACCACGAAAGTGATAGACATAGTTGACACCAGACATAGTTGGGTTGATATTTCAGCAACATGCCTTTATGAAAGCAATAGCAGAAGATTCATTCCAAATTGGTTTTGCTATTGTTTTGGTGAAAATATGTTGCTGAAATATCAACCAAACTATATCTCCATTCCCCTGATTTTTCTCTGAGAAATATGGCTAATACTTCTGCCTTATCTTTATAGCAAATTGATGCAATTAAAGCTACAACCAAAAATGACACTGATAACTCCTGCAAGGGACTAACAGGTGGTCTGATACTCACCAAGACCTTGAAAGGCTCAGTGCGCCCGGACAGGGCAGGGCTAGGCCACGACATGCCAAGCAAAGTTCAGTTAAATTGTGTCAGATACTAGAGTCAGAGAAAAACATATGCTGATATTTTATAAACACACTTATATTTGATCCCTTGAATAAGGAGGCAGGCATACACAATACCATAAGCAAATTTTATGTGGCAGGCATGCATCACATGACAGTGCATATTGCACATGGGCTTGAAGTGATGGCAGTGGTTGTTCATACCAGTTTCCAGCTAAATACACATATTCTATATTTAAAATGTCCACCAGAAATCTAACTTCTTGACACATGACATCAATGTTGTGCAATGGTGAACTCCAATGTTTTCATGGAAGATCCCTTCTTAGATGTGACAATGTCTTTCATAACATGACACAACTGCAATACTTACTGTGTGACATTGCATTTTGCATAATGTTGCTGTCATGCTTACTGCCACCAATTACAAAATCAAAATTGTCATGTCAAGAGTAATGCGTAAATGTGGTTGGAAAAAGAACACAACATTGGGGATATCCTAGCATCAGGGCAAATATTACGCAATAGGTCAGCTAATCACTGATACATGTACAGGATGTAATTACAACTTGGGACCTTTCACATTTTGACCGCATTAATGGTGGTAATGGACAAGTGTCACAAGTTAACAAATCATGCAAGTCGTATTAGAGCATAAACGGCACCCATCAACTGGGATTGAATTCATATATGCATGACGCGCTACTGGACAGCAGCACATCATCGTCCACGTGCACAAACCTAAGAGAAGATGTTCACACAAACCAGACAGAATGTCTACGGCTAACCAACTGCATGCATAAAAACGATAGGCGCCGTACCGCTCCCTTAATGGCCTCCCACATAACTACACACCATCCCACTACAAGATCTGTTTACAATTGCAGGTCCTGCGCCAGATTATACACGTTTGACAATGATGCATTAGTGCAGTCATGTATCGATCTAGTTTTGATTACGTCATACGGTAATAACGCCTTATTTTGCATGTTTTGGTTTACTCATGCCATACAAGTTAGTTTATGACGCTTCAAAATATTTTTAGATAAAAGTATATCCAATATATTATTATGGTAGCAAAACCAGGGTATGGACACAAACTACAATCAAAAGATTTGCGTCATACTAAGGGCATTTTACGGGGTTGTGTTCGCAATAGCAGCTCAGTGAATTTGTTTTGCCAAATATCCAATCATATTTTGTGTGTGCAACTGTAGCCCAATAAAATAACGGTAATTCTGGCAAATATAGCTATTGTATACCAACAGACGACGATTTGGAACAAGACTGCCAAAACGCGGCCTAGCAGAAGTGCATGCTGCTAAGTTCCCATATGTCAATATTTACACCGTGGCCGGCGCGCGTTAGTGGTTGGGGGTAAATGGGATTACTGAACCCACGACAACGTGTGGCGGCCGGGCATTTGTAGTAGTGCATGTGTTCGCATTGTTAGCAAATGTGAAAGACATGGTGTGGAGGTAATTGACATGAGACAGAACTTAGCCAGAGAAAGAGGCATCGTCCCTGTACCATCCAGGGCCGAGGCAGCACATCTTGACGGTTGCGAGTAGGGCGCGACTTACGGGTGCCTGGTCTGGACTTTAAATGGTGTCTTTTTCCCTGCTCAAAACAGCCCAGTTTGCAAGCCTTGATGAGACATACTTTGAGCTGAATCCTTGTGCTTTATTTAGAAGAACCGTGCTTCGAGCAGCCAAACAGCGGTCCCCAATGTTTTCATTTAGCCACTGGACCAAAAGTATCTGATCAAAGCTACTTTTTGGAATTGGTAGACCATTACTCAGAGGCCAGAGGGGCATCTCAAAGCCCCTTGGTATGCTTGAGAGGGATTTGGAACCACAAAAATTTCATTTTAGATGAGCAAAATTGCCATTGGCCTCTCAAATATCTCCTAGAAGTGATGGGCATGTGTCCACAGTCTGTGGGTGTTAATGAAAGAAGGTCATGCTGGTATCCTTGATAGCACATGCTATAAGGGAATACTTTGATAAGAGGTCTTTTTTGGTTCATATTGTATGCAACCAATTTACTTTATGAGGCTGACTCCACATTGATAACAATTTAACTTTTTGAGCATCATAAGCCCCTTCATCATTTGAAAGATAATTTGAATGCAGATGTACACATGCAGGTAATGATATGGATGTAGCTTGAGTCTTGAATTTTCCATATAGGCATGACAGTTTTTTGCCTCTCACAATCCACTCTACAGGCAACAATCTGGGTATCTTAGACATTTTGGTCAGCACTGGTGGCACCAGCTGTTGCAGCTCATAGTGTCCATTGTCTGGCTTTATTGTTTGGTCTGTTAATTCTACCTGATGTTTTCCAGTTCCATCTTACACTGACAGCTACACCTTAAGTCTCCAACCATCAGAGTTGATGTTTGAATCTGTGGTCACCTCATAACACTGTTTGGACTGGAGCTCACCTGTGCTGCCGCCAAAGCTCAGCTGTCAAGGTATCGAGGCTCTGCTTCTGGTGGTCCTCAGCTATGTGTTGCATGTGTTGTCTGATCTCCTTTTGCTGTCTGAATGTTGGGTCTGCTTTCTCAGGATGGGGTTGCCAAAATGATTAATTGGGTCAGCATTGCAAATTGCGTTGATCTGGGGATGCAGGAGATACACAGTTGCATGCTCCAGACTTCTGGCTCCACAGTAGCCTCCTAACCATCTTTCTGTGGTCTGTTCCTCTTTAACTCTGCTGAACCCTGACATTTGACCAGCCAGGTTAAATGGCCAGCCAGGCCAAGCAAGAGGCACATGAATGCTGGGTTGACTTACCATTGGGTTCAGTGCTAATTGGCATATCCTGAGTGTGGGAATGAGCAACAGGCAGTGAACCCTGAGCTAGAGATGTGAGAGGATAATAAGCATCACCTGCCTTCCATGCAAGTGACCAAATATTGCCACCCTGCAATGGGTCAGTATGCAATATTTTAAATCATTTGTCACCAATCACTGAGCTGTATGGGACATCAGCCTTTTCTGATGCCCCCTTTTTGTTGCATGATGAAGCACAGCAATATTGTGTGCCTTTGAATTAAGTCTGAACATTTGATTTGATGGACTCAAAGGATCAGCGCCCATGCTAAGCCTATTAGATGCATGAGCCCTGACTGTCATCACCTGATTGGCTCAGGTCATTTGGCATATGTTTTTCTGCCAAAGGTTAATGTACTGAAAGCCTTACCATGGTCTGTCATACCCTCGTCAGTCACGTCACGTCACCAGGCCTGTGGCGCGGCCGCTGCCACCAGCCACCGGCCATCCCAGTCAGGGACAAATAGCGCGCGGGCGAAGTGATTCGAGCCAGAAGCCACCCCACCACCGATAGGTGAATACGAAGGCAGGGGCTCCAACTGGCTGGGGTGCCAGGGCTGGGCAAGGGCAAAAACAAACCTAGATTTCGAGTTGGGTAGACCAGTGCACTGCGTACCTGAGTTCTTCCAGACCTCCGCGCGCAGACATCAGCTGTCACTGCCCATGCACGCCCGCAACTTCCTGACCCGCCTTGGCTGTCTGTGGCTGTCTGGCGGAGGACGTCTTATGATAACAATTGTGGAGTACTTGACCTGGCCCAGTCACATTGAAATGGAAGAAACATGTTGAGTACATGTGGCTGCCTGGCGAGGGATGTCTGGTGGTAAGGTTTGTGGAAGTATTTGGCCTGCCCCAGTCGCATTGAAATGGAAGGAGCATGCTGATTAAATCAGATATTGTAGGACCTCAGGTACTCAGTTGATATGATATGATTTAGGACAGCATACCTGGTCGCACCGTGTCACAGAGGGCTGTTGGCTGGTTTTGACAGCACTGGACAGTGGTGCTCCTGGGACTTTGGTTTGAAGTGTCACTCGTTATGCACAGAGCACACGTTGTCAAAAAAAGATGTTGTGGGACCCTCCCCCCCCCCTCCCCCCCCCCTCCCCCCCCATTGGCGTTTCTGACCGGTCTGCTGTCAGCGATGCTGTGGTCCGAGGTAAGTCAGGGCCAGTGGGACGCACGCGGAAGACCAGACCGGTTAAACCAGGGCCAGGACGCGGACGGACCCAGGCCAACTGGAGTGGCCCCGCCGGCCGTGGGCCGGCAGCACCCGTGAGGCCCGGCGTAGAGCCGGGCCTGCGCTGCGGTCAGAGCGCGGTGCCCGTGCCGCGCCGGAACGGGGTCGTACTCGCAGTGCTGTGGTCCGGACCCGGGGGCGGGGCGGCCAGCTGCCCGGCGCAGGTGTGAACTGTAAACGCCGCCCGGCCACCTGTGCGCCGGTCAGGCCGGCCCAGCGACGTCCGCAGTGGGACGGACGTGTCGCCGCCGCCCGCCGGCACCGCCGCGCCGCCGCCATGGACCACCTTCGGACGGTCGGTGGTCCTCTGTGTGTCGGGAGAGGGACGGCCGGGCCGGCCTGGAGTGTGGTGGCCGTGGGTGGGCTCGCTGGTCCTCGGCAGGCGTCGGATCGGAAGGTTCTGACCCCGTGGTAGGAGGGATGTCCGGTTAGCGCAGCTCGGTGCCGGCTGGAGGCTGGGGGTCATAGCCGGGGCGTCGGTGCTCACCAGGGACGGCTACGTGGCCGCACGCAGTCGATGTGCTCGACCCCCTCCGCTGATCAGGGACGGCGCGTGCCCGCACGCAGTCGATGTGCTCGATCCCGTCTGCTGATCTAGGGACGGCTGCGTGGCCGCACGCAGTCGATGTGCTCTATCCCCTCCGCTGATCAGGGACGGCTGCGTGGCCGCACGCAGTCGATGTGCTTTGTTCCCCTCCGCTGATCAGGAACGGCTGCGTGACCGCACGCAGTCGATGTGCTCGATCCCGTCTGCTGATCAGGGACGGCCGCATGGCCGCACGCAGTCGATGTGCTCGACACCCTCCGCTGATCAGGGACGGCTGCGTGGCCGCACGCAGTCGATGTGCTCGACCCCCTCCAGTGGCCAAGGACGGCTCCATACACCGCATTAATGATCTTCCGATCTTTCCTGTTCGTCGTTCCTGTCGTTGTTTTTCCGCTTTTGCGCATGCCGGATAAACTTTTCACGTACGAGGTGTTAATGTTGTCACTGTGTCTATTTTACTTACTCTTTCATGCAGGGTAAACCGTCCGCGTTAGTTTGTTACCAGAGATTAGATGAAGTGATATGGACTGTTTGTACACGTGGTCATTGTGCGGAATTGTATAAATTGTTCGTAGTGTTTCCAGAATTTAAGCATTTTTTCTCTGTGTTAGTGTACGTAATCGTTTGGTCACAATACGAAATAGTTATTTAGGTACAACGTTCAACTTTAGCAAAATGATTGGTGCATGGTATTGAATGTTGTTTAATGGCATTAGAAATTGTTCAGGCACTGCATGCAAAGGATGTCTTTGCCATGTACCGTATCTTATGCATGAAATGAGGAATTATACAATTAGTCGGCGGAATTTCAGCCGTTTGTAGCGATACTACTGGTATCACCAATCAGATATACTTTCCCGGCATTAATAAGGCACCGGATAACTTAACAGTATGGCAGCTTTGGCGACACGTTTGCACGTGTTTGTGTTTCACCATGATGGTAGTTGACGCCAAGATTCCCTTTCCAGTTGTAGCAACCCTTGACCGCTTTATCCATTTCGTAACTTTACATGTACGCATATATGTATACATATACATATAGTAAGTCAGTTTACGCATATCAGGCGAAGAAACGTTTTAAGAAGTGGGGAGGAGGGCTAAGCTCAGGGCATACTGATTCACTATGCTCAGGGTATACTTCCAGGTCACCATGGACCACCTCCGGCCGGCCGGTGTCCTCTGTGTGCCGGGGGGGGGGGGGGGGGGGCACATCCGACCCGGCCCGGAAGTGCGGTGGCCGTGGGTATGTACTGAAATTCCACAAGCGGGTACGCGTTTTGGGTCATTGGGGAGGCATCTGCCTTCACTGGGTGGATGCAAAAATACGACCCGGGCACAGGCTGGTCAGAATTCTGAATGCAAGTCAGTGGCCCGCAGTACGCCAGAACTTTCATGCGCCTAGATTTCGCCGGTCACTTTTCAAGGGATAATATTGGTCGGAGCAGTTCGGTGGAAAACAGATTGGAAAGCTTCAAATGTGAACTGTCAAAAACTTTTTGATAAGACCGTCAAATCGGAGTTTCTATTGTAAACACCGGGTCACAGAATGAAGGCCATTCTTTCAGATGTCCCCTGTCTAAGCACTGCTCCCGTCCGCCGTCGGCGGCTACTGCCTTGGCCCGGCTGTCCCCCGCGTGACGGACCGCGAACTGATCGTAGGATGGCTTTGCTGCATGTTTATGGATCAGCTTCACTTTTTATTGGTGTGTAAAGCGTATATTGGACACCTGCTGCGGTATTTATTTACAAATGATCTCTTATACTGCACCGCAGCAGAAAATAAGCGTTCGGAAAACTGCCCTCGTCGGGTATGAATTGGTCCACCGGACATTCCTTTGCCACTCATTCAGGGTAGCCGACTTGTTCTGCTTTTGTATGTAGTGCGAGGCGTATCCAGAACCTTGGTAAGGGGTGGGGCACCGGGTTGACAAAGGCCCCCTGACGATGACCCCCCCCCCCCCCCCCCCCGAAAATCGCCGGATGTAGCTCACCTGTGTACAATCGTTGAACAACTCCATGGAATAAATCTCCGGCGCTCTCCACTTTGCAATGGTTCAGTGAACTCTTTGTAAACCGATAGAACTCAAAAGCTTTGACAGATTTGTATGCGTCCCTCAGAGATATTGAGGGCCTCTGAACGTAGACTGTAGATCGAAATGGAGCCCATAATTTGTGTTGGCATGGCTAACCCATATTAGTCCTGAAATGTTCAACATGCGGTCAGAATCGATTACTGAGAAAAATTATGCGGCATGGTCTTGAAAATTGCGCGCTCGCAAATCTCAGCATCAACATCCTCGACGCCCGGCGCTGCGTCTCCATTGGCCGGGCGGAAAAATGACGTATATGAAAGAACAAAACCGCCTTTGAACGCTTTAGGACATCAGTTCGTACGTTTAGAAAATATTCCTAGCGTCTATTTCACCTGTTTGGTTTTTAGATCGATGAAAAGGGCCGATTAACCGTTACAGTACCGCGAAGTTGTCTCGAACCAGTTGGTAACATCGGAAGATTAAATATAAGATATATATTCTTCGTGTCGCTGTAAGTGTCAATTTGACCAGAGGGCACACAGTAAATTGTAGAACGAAACTACGCCCCAGCTAATCCACGAAAAGGTCGAATTCATTTTGATTTACTCTGAAAAACATTATTTCACGACAGTCGTTCTCGCGCGCAAGGCACCCGACGCCCGGTGTTACTTCCAGCGGACAACGCCGTTCGGTGTTACGAGATTTGCAACCCCGGCCAGCGCTGGCTCTTGCTCCTGAGATTGCGAGCGCGCAGGGTTAGGTTAGTTGTCCCGCTGGTTCTTGCTCCTGAGATTGCGAGCGCGCAGGGTTAGGTTAGTT